AAATCTTCGAATATGAAAGATCCGAAATTACCCAAACGATTGTTTCGTTCTGAACTTGAGCCTGTCAACAACAAGGTGAATGTCTATTGTTTCGTCAATGACAAGGTGAATGGTATAGCTGACTACGAAGTATAACTATCGAACTGGATCAATGCAATGTTTTACATAGTGAACTATTTTTTTATCACTATACATGATTGAATAGCTAACTATTCGTATATAACCAGTGAACTATTTTAGTTAACTATACATAATTATAAGTGTTATTTAGTTAACTATCTTGATAAATATAGACTAAAATATATACAATCGTAAATATAATATAGTCAAATATATTATTACAATTGAATTAATTATTGTAAAGATTATATAGTTCACTATATTATTAATCGAATAGCTAACTACAACGACATAGAAAGTAGGAATATAGTCAACTATACAAAGTAAGAATTTTAGCTAATTACAACAACATAGAAAGTAAGAATATAGTCCACTATACAAACATTTCCTTTCTTTCGAGATCCGTTGACTACAACAATATAGAAAGTAGGAATATAGTCAACTATACATATGTTTAAAATCATTGTTGGAATTTTAGCTAACTACAATAACATAGAAAGTAGGAATATAGTCAATTATACAATCATATGAGATCACTGAATAAAGATTAATTTGCATCAATCAAGATCAATCTTGATTTTTTTTCTTCAGAAATCGGAGTGATTGATTCTGTAAAAAAGAAATTTAGGTATGTCGAAATTTTTTTTTTCCCATATGTGTGCAATGTCAGCGTGTAAAGATTTTTTGGTATTTTTATTATTTTCTTTAGTATTTTACTAATTTTTTTAAACAATTTTGTAAAGGCACATTTGTCCTAATTTTTCATCTACCTGTTGTTTACCTAAATTTAATTATACTTATGTTACTTTTCTAATTATCTATCTCAAAAATAATATTGAGCTAATTAACCCTTAAAAAAATTGATATTCCAAAAGCCATATTACTCTTGGTTATGACAGTATTAACCAATTTATTACGAGTTTAGCTAGTGTGTGAACACTTCAATTAAAATGAATATTTATTCACTATTTGTTTCTTAAGATTCGTTTCGCTATGTTATATTGTTACATAACATAATTACATAAGTACCCAAAATAACATTCCTCTAGCGTCAATTTCAGTGCAATGGGCCTCTTTTTTAGTTACGATATTTTCTTAGGGTCGGCCTTAACTAAACCCATAAAATACATGAATCATCATCAATTGCGCATGCAATATATGCATAATTAAATTCCTCATGGCCCATTTAAAAGCAAACGAAACAATCTCACTATTTTCTTAATTGACCTTTGATTCGAGTAACAAATTTTCTCGAAACTTTTGTTGCGTAATCTGACCGGTTAAAAACTCTCATACTATGCGTTTTGGTTCGACACTCTTGGGGGTTAATACACACACTAGATGCATATGTATCTATATGCGTGACATGTGTTATTAGCTTAACGTGGGGATTGATCACATTCACATGGGTCACGGAGGATCTTTTAAATCATTATGGTATTAAATCTTGATGTTTACGTTTGTGACACTTAAGGCTCAAAAGAAGAAGAAAAAAACAAAGCAATAATATCTCCATTTATGCTTCCATCTATATTATATTTTTCCGTGTGGTACACGTATATGTTTAAAAAAATTGTTTCACAAAATAGCATTTTGTATTTTTTATACAATTTTTTTATATAATTTGCATATTAATTATATTATCTAGAGTTTAAATAGATAAAACAATTAATAAATATGATTGAATGATGATGATGTACAAATTTACAAGTACATATTACAAAAAAATGTAAAACAAATACGATCTAGTGATTTACACTAGTACACGTATAACTTAGTTATGAATTGGATGAAGTATTGTAAACCGACCAAGCTTCTTTGTATTTAGTATTTACTATCCTAAGTGTATGCAATTCAAGATTACTAACATTATTAAATTATCACCGGCTTATGTTGTAAAAAATATATACTCTAAGTGAAAGAATAATATCAGCTTGTTTGTCGCCCAAGAATCTTGATTTAAAACTGCATTTTTCTGAATTGATGCCTTCACATTTAAATGGACTCTGATTCGTATGCTTGATCCATTTTGCATAAATATAACATTTTATATATTTTGTGGTTTTTCATATGCGAAAGGATCGACATGATGGTAAATGATGATAATGGTGTCTTTGGTCTCAAGCTACATCTCAATCACTTAATAGCGGTCCATCTTGTCTCATCCAATATTCATTTATTATATATAATTATGCACATGCCCACGCCCATACATATGCAAATGTTGAATATTTACATAATTTATATTTTTTCCCTTGTAAAAATAATAATCAATTACTTATTTGAACACTTCAAAATCATATGATGCAAATAAACCGAGATAGTTAAGACTTTTGCCATGATTTTCATCGATTTTAAAGATACCATTTGTACAATACCACAAATCAAATATGTTCATGATACATTTAGAGGTTAATATTTTATCCGTTTGCCTATTTGGTGCTATAAGATTTAGACATAAGTCAATAATGTAAAAGCACACACGCGAATATATACAAAGCAGACAATGATGAAAAGTAATGGTCATATTAAATAATGCCTAGCTACTAATATTATTAGAGATTATTAATCATTAATATCCCATGTTTTTTAGGTTCTTAGGCTCCCCCACTTTCTAGTGCTCAAACTCCAAACTTAGTTCTAACGAAAACAGTAAAACAAACTCACTAATTGATATTTTTTATTACCTTTTGTTGTATAAAAATACACATCTTATTCCCCAAATTATTTGTGCTACTTTCTTTCGAATATTTGTATAATTTTGTAATTGCAAGCTGAGGGTATTTGCGAGTTGACTATTGACCTTACATTACAAAAGCCATATTATTGATACGAATATGTATTTAATACAAATAGAAGATAAAATGGAACGATCTTATGCC